ATCTTGAATACTTTACGAGGTCATCTTTACCTTCCAGTCGGACTCGGTCTTGTAGCAGACTGGATTGTCCGAGTCTCGCAGTGAATTTGCATGCCATATACTATCTCTGATGATGATGACTACAAAACAAAAGTTTATTGTTTTTATGATACGCAAAACTTCCGTATTGAACACTTCTCCATCCGAGGTCATCTTGATAAACATTAGGGCACATGTTCAGTTTCACTCGGATTCGAGCTCATCCACTCGGATATTAGAGTCATTCACTCGGATTGTTCGACTAGACTTTTTCACTTGGATGTTAGAATCTTTCACTCGGAAGACAATCTCTCACTCGGATGACTATATTTTCACTCGGAAGGCAATCTCTTACTCGATCGGCAAGTTTTCATTCCGACGGTAATCTTTTCACTCGGATGATTATATTTTCACTCGGAAGGCAATCTCTTACTCGATCGGCAAGTTTTCATTCCGACGGTAATATCTTCACTCGGATGATAATAACTTCACTCGGACGGCAAACTTTCACTCGACCGGTAAGTTTTCACTTGGATGGTAAGCTTTCACTCGATCGGTAAGTTTTCACTCGGATGGTAAGTTTTTCACTCGGATTTTCCGACTGAAAACATAGCCTGATCTTGATTTATCTCTCCAGGCCTCATACGACCTCGGATTGAGACAAACTATATATGAAAATCGATCGGCTTGTCGAGACGAAACTTTTCCGTGTTGAAGGTTCTTCGATTCAAGGCTTTCTTGAGGGCCGAATTGCTCACGCATTGCATCAGACACTCATCAATATGTGTCTGGTGTCGAGCGTAATATTTTGGTCTCTGGTAGGGCTGGATTGTATTGAGTGTAACTTTTGCATACGAACTCAGATTAAAATGATTTATATATGAAAACCGATCGCCTCGACAAGGCGAAGACAATTCCTTCAGAGTGCTCCTTCATCCGATGTCGTCTTGAAGGCGTGATTGGCGGAAAACCACTCGGAACACTGAATTCTGCCACTCGGACTACAATTTCGATCCGTAAGATGGTTTCGGATAATGATAACCTAAACATCAAAGTTGTTCCATTTGACGATGCGAAACTTTCTCATGTTGAAAACATCTTCATTTAGGGCCATCTTATATGCATTTGTACCATGCCAAAATCCGGCGTCAACACCTCTCTCTCAAAAGAATCTAGAAAATAGTTCGGGGAGTTCATAGGTGGAAGATGCGGTCGGCCACATCACCAACAAAACGAAAATTGTTCAATACTTGCTCTATCCTTAACTACTATTGTATGAACAAATAAAGGACAAAAATCAGGTTAATTATTAACAACTCAAAAGCACGGAAGATTCATAATAGAATGGTGAACGTAGTGTATCAAATTATATAATTTAGTTTTATAACAGCAACACATAATTGAGTTGATTGCTCCCTGTGACCACTTCGGGTATGGCTACTGTTACCTCATCCTTCAAATGCGCTTGCATGGAAAATTAAGCACGCACTTGTGTGCTTAACCTGTCCAGCCAGTTATTTGCTTGAACCGGTCAGCTATTACCACATCAAGCTAATAATAGCTACCTCTAAAAAAAATCTAGCTAATAGTTCGGGGAGTACGTAGGTGGAAGATGTGGTCAGCCACATCACCAACAAAAAGACAATTGTTAAATATTTGCTCTAGCGCCCTCAGGACCTAGCTATGTGTTAAGAGCATCACTAGTTGTGAACTCCAATAGATATCATAATCTTTCCCACAGTAAGGATAATGATGACTTAGATTTAGATAATAAGAAAAAAAATACCTAAATGGCAAAAATGCTAGAGTAAATCTAAAAATGAATATGAAAAGAACAAAAACACTGCTATGGCCCAGTTACAGAAAAATACACTAGATGGAAAATTTGCATGTTACGAAAAAAGACGTATAGGAATTTGCGGTACAGCAAATAAACTACGTAAAAACAACATATTTTAATTTACTGTGGTTTTATAATATAAGTTGCCATGACAACAAAAGTCAAGTTGCCGGGGCAACAAGTTTTTAGTTGTCGATGATAATGATGCAAAATTGAACTGTAAAATAAAAATAAAATTGCCATGCCATTTAAAAAACAACTACTATTCTCTTAATAATAAAATGGTCTGCTTCATGTTTTAGTTTTCATTACATAAAAATCACAAGAAGCAAATTGCCATGATGTAAATAAATCAAATGGCCATGGCATTATAAATAAACATTTCATGCCATTAAAAATAAAATTGGCGTGCTTTTAATTATAAAAAGGCCATGATTGAAAAGCTCACGAACATAAAATACCTACAAAAAAAATCACAACTAAATATGAAAAGGTTTGTTCTACTCACAATGCAAGCGATCATGTTGACAATTTTTCTTAGAAAAAGCAAAGATATCTACATTTGCCAAGTGATAAAATGGAAACAAGTCCAAATAATTGCAATGATTTTTCCTAAAGTTGTCACAAGAAAGCATTACCACTATTTCTAAAAATTGCCATGGTTTGTAAAACAAAAATGTCTGATTTTGCCAGAAACATTTTACGATAGGTACATTGTGTATAGAAAAAAATTCTTAGAAAAAAACAGAAGTATGTACACATTGAGATGATATTTTCTCTAAAATTACCATCATGAAAGGGAAATAGAAAAAATATTAATTTCCGTCTTCCTAATAGAAATATGATCCTAGAAGTTAACATGTTTTGGAAAACAAAACAAATCTATAAACTTGTCATGTGAACAATACAAATATGTATAAAATTTGCCATGCAATATATAAATTTGCCAAGTCACAAGTTGGAAAGAATTAATAAATTTCCATGTGGACATAACGAAAAAAAAGCATAATTTGCGATGTTCAAAAAAGATAAATTTTATGAATTTGCCATGTGACCAGTAGTTTTTTTTATAAACTTGCAATGTGTAGAAAATGACTTTTTGTTGAATCATTCAAAAAAAAGTATGTAAAATTGCCATGTGCGAAAGTAGAAAAACATTTCCAAAATTGCCATGGGCAAGTGATTAGTTTTGTAAAGCTTGCTGTGGGAGCATTAAAAAAAGACCTAAATTTGCCACGTTTGAAAAACAAAAGTGTTATGAATTTGTCATAGGACATGGAGAAAATATTTCTCAATTTTCCATGTGAACAAAAGAGCTTAGGATGTGAACACTACTAAAAATGTTTAAATTTGCCATGTGACAAGTTTAAAATTGGTAAATATGCCATGTGGACAATTACTAAATAAATAGTGAGAAATTACCATGATTTAGAGGGAAAAAGGCCTAAATTAGCCATGAGAATAAGAAGAAGAAACTTAACTAAAAAAAGTGACGTTATGGAAAAAATTGTTATCTAAAAATTACCATAGGTACAATTCAAAAACATTCCTACATTTTGCCATGTAAATTATGTACAATTTTGCATTGGATATTTCTTAGATTTTTCCTGTGTACAAATGCAAAATTTCTTACAAGTTGCCAAATAACATGGTGCAAACATTTACCTTGGTCCCTCACTCCACTACAAAATGCCCCACCCCCACAAAAAAATAGAGCTTTTCCTTAATATTGAAGGAATAAAAATAATTTGGCATGTTATGTTCAATATACATGATATAGTGTATATAATGAATTTTCCATGGACGGGAAAATTTGGCATGGTACCAAAATAAGAATTGTCATGTTATGTCAAAAAACATGAAATAGTATATATAATAGATTTTTCATGGACACATGTCAAATTTGGAATGATACATGAAAATAAAATTTTCCATGTAGTTTGGTGTCTAAAAATCAATGTATATTCAAATCAAAACAATTGCCGTTATTAACATTTTTTACATTTTCTTTATAATTTGCCATGTACCTAGCACAAATTTTGCCATGCCATGAACTACACATTTGGGGTTTCCATGAACTATAATGTCAACAACCACCATGATTTTTTTGTTAATTAACATCACAATCAACGAATTTCATTCCGTGCTACCATGTGTGTTGTACAAGTTTGGATGCAAATGCTCTATTAGTTTCTAGTGGAAAGGCATACCATGAAGGTGTTGGAGCTTGGTTACAGCGGAGACAACCCCATCTCGACGAGGACCTCGTCTTGCAGCGGCCTGGGCTTGGAGAGCGCTAGCTAGACGCTCTCTTGGAGGCACTGCCACGTCCATGACTTTTGGGCGGCCTCCTTGGCCGTGGTATTTCTGGCCTTCTAGCTATTGTAAGAGAGAGGAAACCTTAACAGGTATGAGACGTCCCAATGAACTTAAACTTATATGAACATTCGTCCACATACATTTTTCTTACACTGGATGATAAAACATTGGAACTACATAGCCTAACAGTGAACATAGAAAGGCAATGTTTACACAACACAAATAGGCATGAGTTTCCATATGATCGCTTTGCCAGCAAGAGAAATGATAGAGAATAGGAAAAAACACCGGCATCCATAGGCATATTGAAAACGAGATTGCTAAATCTCAGTCAACTGAGATTCAAGGAAGTCTCAGTCGATGCTATATTCGTGGAATTTTACACGGAGATCTGTGCAAAATTTTAATTGCAATTTTTTCTTTCTTCTTTTTTATATGTTTTATAACTAGACTGAGACTTGGTTAAATCAGTCAACTGAGATCTAGCCAACATTGTGGAGAGAATGGCTCACGTAAGGAATACAATGCTGAAACAACAACCCGTGCGAAGGAAGTAAATGCGCTGCGTGAGCCCTCAAAAGCGAAAAGGAATCATCAAGCGTTTTCATCTTATTGTATAAGAGTTACATGAGACATAACTAATTCTCATCTACCAAATCCGTCCTCTCAATCAAAAAACAAAAAACAAAAACAAACAGGAGAATGCATCTACCAACACATACAAACCACATAGGGTAGAATACAATAGAGCAAACTTAATTGGGTGTTGCAGCGGTATAGTAGATTTTTGCATGACCAAGATAAATTGAGAACACGCGATCGTCTAGGCAGTGACTGGGACGCTATGGAGGACAACTGTCTCCACAGTGAGGCCGGGGCCAAAGCCGAAGAGAACACCCCAATCCATTCCCTCGCCAGTTGTGGTGTGGCCATCCTCGGCGGAGCGTTTGCGCATTTCGTCCATGATGAAGAGTACACATGCGCTTGACATGTTGCCATATTCGGAGAGGACATGCTGGGTGGCACGCATCCGTTCCTTGTTCAGCTTTACCTTGGCCTCAACCATGTCAAGGATTGCTGGCCCGCCGGGGTGCGCTATCCAGAAGACGGAGTTCCAGTCATCGATGCCCAATGGCTTGAAGGCGTCCTCCAGTGCGCGCTCGATGTTCTTGGAGATGAGGCCAGGCACATCCTTTAGGAGGTGGAAGGTGAGGCCGACCTCCCGGAGGTGGCCGTCGATGGCGCCCTCCGAGTCCGGCAGAATTGTCTGGCTCGCAGACACCAGCTGGAACAGGGGGCGCTCGACGGACATGTCAGGGTCCGCGCCGACGATCACCGCGGCCGCACCATCACCAAAGAGCGCCTGACCTACCAGTGAGTCGAGGTGGGACTCGTGCGGGCCACGGAAGGTCACCGCGGTGATCTCCGAGCACACCACCAGCACGCGCGCGCCGCGGTTGTTCTCAGCAAGGTCTTTGGCTAGGCGAAGCACCGTGCCGCCGGCAAAGCAGCCCTGCTGATACATCATGAAGCCTTCACGGAGGGGCGAAGACCGAGCATCTTAGTGAGCTGGTAGTCGGCGCCCGGCATGTCCACACCGGAGGTGGTGCAGAAGACAAGGTGGGTGATCTTAGACCGCGGCTGGCCCCACTCCTTGATGGCCTTCTGTGCCGCGGCCTTCCCGAGCTTGGGGACCTCCACGACAGCAATGTCCTGGTGCGCGTCCAGAGACGGCGCCATGTAGGCGCACATGTTGGGGTTGTCCTGCAGGATCTCCTCCGTAAGGTGCATGTACCTCTTCCTGATCTGCGATTTGTCACCTGAAATGAAGCATTGTTTGTTAGGTGTCTTATCCATCCGAGAAAAGGCAAAATTAAGATACGGCAAAGAAGAATGGAAATCATTGCTTACACATCCTCTTGAACTTCTCCTTGAGGTCGGCCATGTGGTCGCTCTTGGTGATCTTGAAGTAGTAGTCCGGGTAGTCGGCCTGGTACACGCAGTTTGCCGGCGTCGCCATGCCGTGGCCGGCCCCTCCGCCCGCTGCGCCTTCCTCACCTCCTCCACCGTCATCGTCGCCGCCATTGATCTCTACGTATGTACCAGCGGCCGATTAACTAGCTACTAGTTATCTCAACAGCTGTCGTGGATGTTTCTGTGCGCTTCCTGTCCAGCTATCTGTCATCCCTAAACTCTATTCATATATGCTCAAGTGATGCTTTAGTGAAAGGAAAAATGTCAGCTGCATGTCTTCAGATTCCCCATCAGGACATATACAGAGTTGATGAAGTGGGTGGTTCTTGGTCCGCTCCAGCAGTGGGCAGAGTCAAACTCAACACGGATGCCTCGGTCCTGGGCTCTACGGCGGGAGCCGGAATGATCCTAAGGGATCACGAAGGAGAAATTGTTTTCAGTGCTTGCAGACTTCTCTATGCATGTGATGATGTGCTGGAGGCAGAGTTACTTGCAATAAGAGAGGGAATTTCTTTGGCCCTTCAGTGGAGCATCTTACCAATAGATGTGGAATCTGATTGTTTAGAGGCTGTCAATATGATTAAGACAGGGAATAGCAACAAATCTAAATATGCTTTCATTATCAGGGAGATCATTAGTAGTTTGGGAGAAAGGAATTCTTGCATTACTCATATTCGTCGGAGCTGTAATAGGGTTAGTCATGCCTTGGCAAATTTTGGTAGGTTGCAACGCCGAACTTTGGTTTGGCTAGGCTCTGGTCCGGATGATGTTTTGGCACTTGTGGGACGAATTGTATTCTCTGATACTTGAGTAATGAAAGAATTCATTCGCAAAAAAAAAAACTAGCTACTAGTTATCTCAACAGCGGTCGGCCGGCTGTGAGATGGAGGTTTTTGCAGGATGCAGCCGGTGGCAGAGAAGAATGGCAGATGCTGTGCGGTGTGGTGATACGATCGAGTGTGGGGGGCGGGAGATATAGGCGGGAAGGGTTGGTAAGGGGAAGCTGGCCGCCGGAGAAGGGGTTAGCTCCGTTGGACGGGAGGATGGATGGCCACGAATGCGGGTTATTAGATGGGTGGCGCGTGCTACTCGTACGTCTATACCGAGCAATCTGGCCAAGTGGGAGTTAGGTGGGTCGCTTGGCCTTGGGCCTCCCCAGTTGCACGGACTCGTACGTGCTTCAACCGCTCTGATGTAACCACATCTAATACGGAGTAGTTAGGTAGGGGAGTACAAGGGGGAAGATGTGGCCGGCCACATCACCATTCACACCAACAAAACGACAATTATTGGATATTTGCTTTACTTGCTTTCTATACCTCGCTATGACTTCGAGATTTCTTTTTTCTTTCGAGGAAACTTTCTTGGATCACGCCATGGCAGTATAAAGAACACAAAAACAAAATTACACTCATGTCTGTAGACCACCTAGCGATGACCATTATCGTCCCTCTCTCGTCGGAGCTAGGCCAAACTTGTTGTAGTCCCTCCGTTTCAAAATAGATGACTCAACTTTGTACTAACTTTAGTACAAAGTTAGTACAAAGTTCCCGCAAAAAAAAAGTTAGTACAAAGTTGGGTCATCTATTTTGGAACGCAGGGAGTAGTGGACATTCGGGAAGTCGTCGTGCTACTGCCCCAGAGAACCAGTGCACCAGAATAACAACCGTCGCTGATGAAGAGAAGTATAATCGAAATGATCCAAACTGTAGAGGCATAAACGAAGACTGGATCCCGATAGATCCACCTAAGACTAGCACCGACTAAATCCTGCGAGATCTACCGGAGACACACCTCCACACGCCCTCTGACGACGCTAGACGCATCACCTGAACGGGGTCTATGCGGGGAGAACCTTATTCCAACTTCAGGGTCTCGTCTTCCTGAGTAAGACACAAACCTAAACGAACTCACAAAACACCTAAAAACGGAGCAAGATCCCTCCCGCTGGCAAGGGCCAGGGTCCACCACGACTCCATGGACCTAGGGGCACCGAAGACGAGGCGGATCGGCGGCGATACCAACGGGAGGCCGAGGAACCCTAAGCTCTTTTTTATTGGACAGAGGAGGCGGCGGCATTGCGCGTTCGTTGTATAAGTAAGCCACAGTGTAAAAAATCCATCAAAACACTAGCCATTTTCTCGGAGCCACGGTGCCCAAACACCCGCCGTTTGGGGAATTTGGAGGAAAGAAATAGTTCCAGCAGATGATGTTATGTATTTGATGATGCAAAATTGTTTGGGCAACCCCAATTTTTTGCAAGCAACATGCAACTTATTTTGGCAAGCAACAAACAACTTATTTTGACAAGCAACATGCCACTTATTTTGCACAACCTAAAGAACCATGACCTAGGGCTTATTTGGGTTATTTTGGTTGAAGTTTACACCAAGCACCTTTATCTTGTGCGGTGTTGTTTAGGGAGAGCTAACTTGATTCTTTGAATATTAATTACAAGCTACCTGGAGCTGGTTGTCAAGCTGAAGTTGTACACGGTGTTATGATCTGGGCATGGAGATGGTGCTCCTAGGTAATTTACTTCTGAACTTGATGATGCTTGTTTTTAGACGGTGGTGATATGCTTGTAAACTACTTAACTTGAGTCTATGTGACTTGTTGCTTGTAAACATCTTAATTTGTGTCTACGTGACTTGTATGGACCTATGTATGTGTGCTTGTTGGTTGATATATATGTGCCTGGTTATATACATATACGCGTTGTATTGTATGATATATGTGCAGGGGTGGACCCAAGAAAGCAAGAAGGCAAAAGCATCCATGTAAACTAAAACGCGAGCACAATCACTTCATTATTCACATGGTAACCAAGTTCATTGAAAAGTGAAAGGAAACTTACCATTTGACATAAAGTTAATCACATCAATATAACAATATGTTTTTCCAAAGTTCCAAAAGAGAATATTGACACATTGTTCTAACACTCTAATCTAAAACTTGCTACAAAAAAGAATGACATGAACAAATTGAGGGAGAGTGAAAACAATAAAGAATGCCGATATTTAAAAAAGGACAACAACTTTAGGCAGAGAATTACCTTTCGTTTCACTCATGATGTTCTTTCACCGCATGAAAAACTTGAACTATCACTTCATTCAGAATTTTTTCAGCAATTCTTTTTCTACAAAGTAGATAAGGCTATGGTTCAAAAATCATCACTAATTTTGTTACATAGAGAATTCTTCACAGTCTTCATAGCTGATAAGCATCTCCCAATGGTCGCAATGGCAACATGCAAAGTGTTGGCTTTATAAGTCAGTACACTAAATAATAAGAAAGTTGCTTCATTGTAGTCAACATCAGTTCAGCCAGATCACCAATATAATCCAAGCTAGCGAACCTTGTATCATGGGTTACATTATCCAAATAGAGATCAAGTTCATGCTCAAGACCCACCCGATCATTGAAGTCATCAGGGTAAAACTAAGACAATTTCATCAACTTCTCAACATTATAGTGACAAAACGGATCACTTGGACTTAAAGCTTACATACAACGAAGTAACTCAAAATTACAACATTGAATCTGGCATTTAACTCTTCCACAAACATATCAAGGATAGAAAAAACTATTGATCTGATAATGATGCTCGCTGTTAATACTGGTCCTTTGCCTTGTCTTCTTTGGATTGACATAATAATTTTCCATCTCCATCACTAAAATGTCATTCTTCTCACAAAAAGAATGTACGTTGTCTATAAGATCGTTCCAATAATGCTCAGATCTAGGCTTTTGTAGCTCTCTCTTAGTGATTCTAAATGATATTAACAATGTCGATATCCTTTCTCTGAAAGATTTTAGATAGACTACTGTTGAAGAAAATATAATCATCCTCTATGTATATGTAATGCATAATCGAATGATTGAAAATATTTTAGAATCCCACTGGCTTGACATTTCTTTATAGGATCAGTATCATCTTCCTCAAAATATTCTAGCACATCAACCACCAATGGAAACATCTTTGACAAACCTGCGAAAGTTCTATAGTGAGAGTTCGATATAGTATCTCCTGATCTTTGAAGAGAAAGCTCTTTAGCCCAGTTCTTGTAGCAATCGCATTCTTAACAATTGCTTTCCCCACTTTTTCTTGATGTTCCTATCTGAGGTTATCCTTTGTCTTGCAAGATGATCCAACAACAGTCACCATAAGTGATATCATGTCAAAGAAATCTCAAACATCAGTATTTTTCTTTGCAATGCATGGGACAACAATCAAGTTATGTTTGTGAGCAAAACAATGTACAAAATAAGCTGAATTGTTCTCTCTCATAATTTTCACTTGCAACCATTAAACTCACCTACCATGTTATTTGTTCTGTCATACCCTTGTCCTCTCATTTGTTTTGGCCTAAAACCAAACTTTGCAATCATGAAATCAATTTTGGACTTGAAAAAAGTAGTTGTTGTCTCCTCAACATGAACATGACCTACAAACCTCTCATATGAAAGCCCACCATGCTTATCTAGAACCAATGCCATATGTTCTTTTTTAGAAATATCACGATACTCATCAACCAATAAGCTGAACACATC